TACACAGAAAGTTTAAATCAACCTTTTGTGAACACTCGGATAGGTAAGTACATTTTCCATCCACAAGTATTGTTCCCTAGTAAGGCAAGATGCTCAACTTGGTAGCATTTCCTGACAGCTATTTCTTCAGCTGAGACCTCAGCATGGAGGAACATAAATCGGTAGACAGCAGCGCCTTCTCCAGGGTTGGTATTTATCGATGATTCATGGTGTTCTGGTTTCCTCCCCAGGTGAAGGAGACATTAATCCCAAAGTGCTTCAACTAATGAGCAGTGAGAAAATCCAGGTAAGGAAATGTGTGGCCTCAACCCTGAGCAGATTTCCTTATCACGCCTGAGAGCAGGGTGTTTAGGCACAGCACTGGGAGCATCACTTAGACAGTGCAGCTGGGCCGCTGGGTGCTCAACTGTGCTGCTCTGGGTACTGGCAGGGATTGTGGGTGACACGTGACAACTGGATACCTGTTGCTGTTCTTACAGTCTTTCTCTGTCATCCTAGAAACTGTGTCGGTTCACTTTCCTCTGAAAATGCAGACATATAACCAGGAATGTAATCATGGAGTGAGGGGTGGGTGGACTTCCGGGTGCTGTCGCTGCCTTCTCTGTGGAGTGGCCAGGAGACCCTGGGCAGGTCACTTAAGGTCTTGGCACCTCTGATCTTCTGTGGTTGTGGATTACGGGAGTGCTGAGGGGCCAGCGAGGTGAGGGGTGTGAAGTGCTTAGCCCGTGGCCCGGCCTACACGCAGCCATTAGCCGGCCTTCATCGTGTGCTGGGTGGCTGCAGTCACCCCTCTTCCCTGGAGGACAGAAGCCTATGTGACTGGGAGATCCTGCTCTGGCCGTGAGGGTCCTCAAGCCCAGCGTGTCTTCTTCTCCACTGGCCTCTCAGACCACGCCCGTGAGGCTGGGTGGCCACAGCCTGGGCTTCCCCAGAGGTCAGAACAGTCAGGTAGAGCTGGGAATCAATCTTCCTCGCAGGGAACAGGACACAGGGGGAACAAAATCTCTTCATCAAAATCTGTCTGGTCTCTCTGAGCACCTAAAGTAACTTCACCAGATTCTGTACTCTGTCCCTCACCCCATGAGGTAACTGCCCCCCATGGTAAGGCTCACCTCCTTGCAGTATGGTGTCCCAGTCATCAAGTATGACAGGAAAGGCTTCAAGCCACGGCAGCGGCAGCTCATCCTCACTCAGAAAGCAGCTTACGTGGTGGAACTTGCCAAAATCAAGCAGAAGATAGAGTATTCAGCTCTCAAAGGTAAGCGGTGGGCAACTGTGAGCCAGTTCCAAGTTGACTCACCTCCTGGGCACACTAGTCATGAAGAAGCCCACAAATGGGAGACACAAGGGGAGGGTGCCCAGAAGGCCCAGGGCTGCCCGGGCCTGGTCTGTGCCTCTTATTCTGCCATAAATGTCCACAGCACCCACTTCACTCAAGTATCCAGTTTAGATAAAGGAAAACTTCCACAGTAACTGGGTTTTGGTTCAGCTTACGAGCCAATAGCATGAGGATTTCTGGAGAATGCCCTCTACCCTTCTGGGCCCAGCTAGAAGGAAGCAGGCATGGAGTTGGGGAGGCCCTGGGTGGTCTCTCTCTATTTTCTGGGTTGATGTCAAGCTGCCCACTTCCAGGCCCCTAACTCTAGGATCTGTCTTAAGGTGTCTCCACTAGCAATCTGAGTGATGGAATCTTAGTCATTCATGTGTCGCCAGAGAACAACAAGCAAAAGGTACTTGATGGCCAATAATCTTCGCTAAAAGAGGGAAGTGATATGTTGCCAAATCTTAAATCAAGAACCACAAAACCTCAGGATTAGAGCTATTGGTTTTTCTTCCTAACCATTAATACTGAAATCACCGTGTCCTCTTTCTACCCAGGGGGATGCCATCCTCCTGTGTGAACATGTATTTGAGGTGGTTACTAAACTCACCATGCTGGTTAAGAAGGAGAACCTTGTAAATGTTGTTCAAGGAAGGTAGGTGGCATCATCTTTGGCTGGGGAAGGAACTCAATGGTAAGATGGTGATCAACAGATAGAGATGCAGATCCTTCCACCTATACCTGCCTCCTGTCCTCAAAGCAGTGTGGGGAGGAAGGCTCCACTGTGTTCCCTGGCCCTGCCTTCAAAAACCTTCTTCTGTCCTCACCCCTCTAACCTTGGTCTAGAGACTAGAAGAGGTCAGTGGTCACTCACTGACCTCAGGAAGCAATAGTCTGCCCATGCAGTTTCCAAAGCTGCTGCTTACATTCCTGAGGGACACAGTCACCAAGTGAAAGGTAGACCTCTAACCTGCAGCAGGGCACAGATATGTCTTTGTTATGATAGCTGGTGGCACAGCTGTTTAGATCCCTGGGCCACAGCTTCACAGGCTGCTCATGGACTAGTCAGGGAAAGCGCTCTAGTCCTTTACTGTGTAAAAGGAAAATTCCTTGCACAGAGTATCCTTACTTAATCTTTTCCAGATCTCTGGAGCAGCCACCACCTTCTCACTTTTGGGGGACACATGTGGACCCCGTGTTAACCAGCATTTGGGGAGGTATATGGATGGCCAGGGAGGGTGTGTGGACTCCTAAGAGCCGTTAGCAACCTCAGCACTGAGCTTGCATGAGGCCTACAGCACGGTGTCTGTAAAAGCAGGTTGCTCTTAGAAAGGACTATTTCTTTTCTCTGCTCCAAGATTTTACAACCCGATAAGCAAATTCATAGGTGGAATAAGGAAGGGCTGAGTACTCTGGAAAGAGTTCTGTTTCACTGTACCTGGAGAGAACACCTAGGCCGCTGTAAGTTCCAGCGTGAGGATGTGTACCTTGCTCCTCGGATGTCAGACTGGCCCTTTGGAAATCTTAATGTGCTAAACTGATCTGAGAATAACTACAGAAGTGTGTAAGTTGCCCAACTGTGAAAAGTCCCCTTTTGATTGCTCACATATGAAATAGAGCAGGAACTCAATCTTGAAACTCCAATAAAATCTCCTTAGTAAATGTCTTTTGCAGGCCAGAGGTGGGGGAAGATAGCAAGAGTATGTCAATAACTTGTCACTTGTGTATTTTAAGTTTACAGTTTTATATCGGTCCTGGGAAAGAAGGCACAATAGTTTTTGATACTGGACCAGAAGAACAAATCTATAAAGATAAAAACGGACAGTTAACAGTGGTAAGTGGCTGGGGTTGGGGGACCAAGTAAACAATTTTACATGAAAATATAGGTTTGAAAAGCGAGTTCATTTCTTTTTTCCTCTTCGTTTTTCCTGATTCTACATCTGAAAGACAGGAAGAGATTGATTTTTGGAAGCATGAACTTAAACACAAAATAAGGGAAAGCCATTTACCATATTTGGTGTCAGGGAAGCAGAAGTTGACATTAAATACTTATCATTAGTCTTACAAGTCCAACTTTTCACTGGCCGACAAGGGTTCTCAAACTTGTCTCCACATTGAAATCCATGTGCTGGAGTTCCCCTTAGATACTGTCATTTTCCTGGCTGGCGGTGTGGCCTAGGCTAGGCTTTAGAATTCGAGATCTCAGATCCAAAGGACACAGAGGTTTGAGAATTGCTGCCATCTTGTGAAGAACCTGAGCACACGGGTGACTCGGTCCTCGACTGCGCCCCCGTATTGGGCTGAGGGTCCCAGTAGTCCTCGCTGACAGGTAGTACAGTGTGCTTTGATCCAGCGTCCCGGGAAGTGACACGTTCAAAGCAGAGAAGGCAGAATCTTTAAAATGTGTATTCTATTTATACCAAGAATTATTTTATAAATTTTAAAATGAATTATCGCCTACATTATTTAAAAATTTACATATTTACTTATAAAATTGTTTTTATAGAAATAAATGTGATGAAGTGTCTTTCATAACCCAATAGATAGGTCCCCTTCAGGAAGTTAAAGTAAAGATCACTGGCATGTTAAGTCATGAGGTGGATTTTCAGTTTACAGGCTATGCTATCTTAAAACTCAAACCCCAGAGACCTGAACATCTCTTTCACAATCTATCTTCCTCCTCCGCTGGCTTAGGCTAAAGATGCCAACAAGCCTCACTGGGCCACTTTCTAAATCCGGCCTGTTCGTAGGAGGTGGGGCTGGTTTCTCAGCTCATCCACCCACCCTGGCCAGGCTGATCTGAGGTGACAACTGCTTCCTTCCCAAAGAGGGGAGCTGTGAGGTTCTGAAGCCAAGGTGACTCTCTCCCAGGTGTCCGTGCGGAGGAAGTCCTGATGGTGGACAACGTCTGATTTCTACCAGTACTGTTTTTGTTACAACTGCGGAAAGCATGGGGCAAGCAGGAATTTGACCCAGTTAGCTATGTCTGCAAGAAAACAAATGCCTGTGGCTCTTTGGACAGCGTCACATCTGAAGACACTGAGTAACATGTTCTGCCAAGGCCTGACCCCAGCATCTCAGCTGCCAGGTGGCACTCTATTAAAATGTCTTCTCCTGGGAGCTGACCTCAAGTCGTACAATGAGGTACTTTTAAACATCCCAGAAAGGACCAACATTCCATGGGCACTTCAACATGGCACGGTCGGGTGTGCAGTGGATATGCTGCCTTTGTCAAGCTGCCCAAGACAATGAAATATTACCTATGATCTGAGAGGAAGTAAATGAAATCTCTTACAAAGCTGCAAAATTTGAATGTTTCTTTAAATAAAGGGAACCTATAAGTTTCAAGGAATTGGCATACATTTCTGCAGGCTCATTAGGTGCCAGGTGGTGAGTGGAGTCCCCCTGCCCTTCCACATTAAATCAGTGGCAACACCAGCTGATTCATTCTGCTTCTTTATGAGCCAGCCAGCATCTTCACCCAAGACTTCCTTTCAGTGGAGACTTCCTTTCAGTGTTAAATTCAAACACTACAGCAAAATGACTCATCTTTTCCTTCCACCATGAGCAACTTCACAGTGACAAGGTGACAAAGGAGAATGCAGGAGCTCTTCCTTTTTCTCTTTGTTATCAGTAGCTCTGCTGTGCTGCGCATTTCAGAAAAGACCCAGAAAACAGATTTAAATAGAAGCACAGTGAAGGTTTTATTTTACATATGTCCACAAATGGTTGTATAAGAGAGAAACAGTGACTACTTCTAAAACTTACAGCATTTTTTCATAGCACAGAGACAGAAAGGTTAATGACACACTTAAATGTGTTACAGTGACTTGGAGTGAAGCCCTAAAGATAACACAAGGGTGGGGGTGGCACACGTCGGTCCCCAACAGCAACTGTAAGGTCTGGGTACAAACACCTGCAAAGGGACCGGGACCTACAGAGGTCAACCAACACAGCCACCACAGAAGGCAGCGGAAAAGGATGTGTAGGGCTTGTTTCAGACACCCAGCCACCATCAGATGACTTATTCAAAACAAAAACTCAACTTGATTACCATGGAGCAAAGGCTGTTCCGATTTTTACCTGTAAGCTCTTACAGTCAAATAAAGCCTTACTCTTCAGCAAATCTTACGCCAGTGTTTTACTTAGATGGTTCATAAATAAAATTACTGACTTCTGCCCTTAGTGCTAACATATGAAAAGTCAGTTCCTTTCCTTGTAGAGTCTATTTGATAGCAGAGCTTGGACCAGCCAACACTTGTCTTTCAGCTCCCAGCTACATGCAGCTGACAGAATCATTCACTGCGGAATGTTTTACAAACCTCTTTGTATCCCAGGGAGGCAGAGATGCAGACTTACAGGTGCAAAGTTGAAGGGAAAGTGAAGGTACCAAGAGCTGCCGGAAGAGCAGGTCATAAGGCAGACATATATGAAAGCCAAAACAAATCAGACTGCTTCGCACACTTACTCACATGAACACTTAAAAAGCAGAATTTACACAATGGCTTTTCCATTCCTACAGAAAACATCAGAACTGACATTCACTGTAACTTTAAAAATGTTTAACCCAAACGGCAGAGTTGACGTTTAAAACTTAAAAGAGTATAAAATATTTATGAAACATTATTTTGTAAGCTCCCTTTCCTTAGCACTTAATAAAATCCAAATAGCCTCATATAAAAGTTTCCCACACAACAGTTTAAAAAGCATCTACCCAATACATCGTTTTGAGGTTCAGTCTTGATTGTTTTAAAGTTTTAAATATTGTAGGCTTTGCTACTGGATACAAAAGAAAGGCAGACAACTGTCACAGGTACAAAGTCTAAGCTGTAAAAACCGTTGCAAAATAGAAACTCGTTTTGTAGATACAGGTGTCAAAGGCTGTCCATGTTAATACCTTTGGTATAAAACAGTAATGATTCCTTGCTAAGCAAACAAAACCCATCCATTACCTGCCACATATTCTCATCTCCTTGTAGCTACTCTACCTAGTCTAGTCTCACCACCCACATCAGTCATCATTCACTTCCGTTCCTGTGCAGGTGCAGAGGAAGCTGGGAGGTAGGTAACTGAGAACGTCTGTCCTAATGAGCACCGTGCACAGCAGGCTCTGGCTCGGGCCACCTGTGCCCCACAAACACACATCCTCACTAACAGTCGCACACATTCCCTAGACAAACATGAACATGGACACAAACTGGACCCAAAGGTATCTGCACATCCTCTCAACCTGTTCACCGATGGCCACTATTCCGCAGAGAAATCAGAGGCAAAGCCGAGAAGGGATCTCCGGGTGACCATTGTGTTACATCAGGGAAGCCACCCAAGACAGGCAAGCTCCCTTGAGCTGGCGGTATGAGGGGTGTCTGGCTGGGAGGACAGAGTCAGGGGCCACACTGAACTCCTGATGAAAGGCCAAGGCACCCACCTGCTGAAGCAAGCCCGAGGTAATGGGAGAGAAGGCCAGGCAGAAAGAGTGGATGCTCCGGAGTGGCAGAGTGTGAGTTTCACCTGCAGCAGGGTCAGGTGGCCTTCCTGGAATGGAATGAGTCAACAGGAACACCAAGTGGAAGAGGCGGGAGCCGGGAAGGGAGCCGGGCACTCACTGCCAGGAAAAGCTCCACTCCTTGCCAGGCATGGTACAGTCCCAGCAAGCACCAGATTAAAGATCAGCCAAGGCAGCAAAGGTTTTATACCCAAAGATGTACTAAAATAAACACGTTAGAAGTAATGATGCTCGTTAGGTCTCATTTTCACGGCCACAAGCTGAAACTATTTATCAGTAAGCTCTAGGCACAGAACCACGTTGCAGAATGGATTCCCAGGAAAGCCATGGAGACTGTGCCCAGTAGGAAGGCACAGGAACCAGGACCCAGTCAGCTGAGGCTACAGGGTTGGGAAATACAGAGCTCAGACACCTCTCGTGGCCGCCACCTGCAGAGGCCCTCTTGGAATTGTCAGCTGAAACCTGAAGGAGTGTCACTCAAGAAGCCCTAATAGGTACTCAACACCCACAAAAATAAATACTGCAAACAAAGTTCTCACATACATTTTACACTCATTCATACTTTTCCTCTGAGAACCAAAAAAGCCTGGCCCCAGATTCTCATGAAAAGTAGAGACCTTGTACATAGCTTGTTCATCCACTATGGGGGTGCGTACACCTGGGTCAAGGCAGGAGCAATTCACCCTGTCGAGAAATACCAAAAGCATCATCTGGCTTGTCACAAAAGTATCTCCAGACTCCAGGGGAAGTAGAAGGTGCCCGGAAGCCTGCAGAGGATCTGAGTGTGGCAGGGTAGGGAGGAGGCGGAGGGCAGAGGAAGGCAGCTGGGTCCACTGGCCAGCTCACTGGTGGAGGTGGGTCCGGTCATCCGGACGCTTGATGTGGATCCGCCGCACGCGCTCGATCCTCTCCCGCTCCCGCTCCTCATCCTCATCCAGGTGATGGGAGCGTCCAGCTGCACCGCCTGTGGCCTCCAGGAGAGCATTGTCAGGTCCCCGGCCATCCTGGGCCTCATACAGCAAAATATTCAGGGTCTCCTCATAAATCCGGGCTTCAGGGAACTCAACCTGTGCCCCACAAAATACAGGGGAAATGTGTTAGTGTTATACACACACAGCCCACCCGTATTTCTGACCAGGGCCATCAGGCTAAGGAGGGCCAGGAGTGCTAATGAAGACTGTCACTATTATTTTTAAAGCAATTGTTGTTTTCAATTGACAACATTTATACATAGTGCTAAATTCACCTGAGACCAAGGGAACACAGTGAAATTGGTTTCCTCATCCTCCCTGCCCCAAGCTGTTCCTTCACGAAGGCAATGCTTCTCATCTTTTCACTTTCTCGCAGAGATTGCATATATACATACACATAACCACACATACAACAGAAGGCTGCCAGATTCTCACACCCCTCCCTCTTGTCCCTAACTTATCACTACACATCAGAGAACTACGAAGAATACGACAATGCAATCAAGTAGTTCACTCTGATGGACATTCAAGTCACCTCCAATATGTCGCCACCAACAGAGCCGTGGCATCAGACACAAGGCCCTCTATGTCTTGAGGATGGCTTGAAAACAGCTTTCTGTCTGCACAGTCACCTCCCTCCTGCCTGGCAAAGTGCTGCTTGCTTGCTCCCCCCACCACCACCACCAGGCTAAGGATCCCTGAAAAGAGGAAGGCCACACAAGCAGGTCCCAGGCCCTTGACTCTCAGACTAGACTTGGTTTGAAGGACAGGACTCCAAGGTTTCGGGAGCAAAAGAGTTAAGCACACTCCACTTTTTCTTTCTCACTGACTCCACCAAAGTAGGTGAGGATGCACACAACAGCCAAGTGAGGACTCCAAGAGTAAACAGCCCCAGAGGAACCTGGGGAAGGAGCGGCACTGGAGATAACCCCAATCAGTGGTGCATCCCCCAACATCCCTCTGCTCCCCCATCAATGCAGGCTGAAACCCAATACAGGCCCCACACCAGAGCACTCCAGGCCTCTGGTAACCAGAGGAGCCATCAGAGTCTAACATGCAGAGTGGGAGGAAATGGGGGTAATCTCCTGCTCTGTCCTCCATTCTCTCCCCAGTGGCAGCAACCAGAGACCACAGGAGTCAGAACTTGGTGGTGCTGGGGATAAACCCAGGGCCTCACCCATGCAAGGAAAGCTCGCTGCTACTGAGCCACACTCCCAGTTAAGGGGCTTTTTTTTTGGTAAGAAGAGCTCTGGTCTCAGGGTCAGCAGGGAGCCAGGCAGGGTGCTGCATGCCTATCAGCCTAGTATTTGGGATGCTGAGGCAGGAGGGTTGCCTCAAGTTCAAGGCCAGCCTGGGTTACATAGTTGAGTGCAAGACCAGCTTAAACTATATATGAGACCCCATCTCAAAAAAAAAAAAAGAAAAAAACAAGGTCAGGAGGAAACCCTGCTGCATTTTTTGCAATCTTCATGCTGGGTGTCCTCAGATACAAACTCAGTCATGAAAAGTGGGTAACAAAAACCCCAGCATCAAAAGCCCCAGCTCAGCTCATGAGAAGTGGGTAACAAAAGCCCCAGGCATGTGCCACCTGCCTGGCTCCCTCCTGACCCTGCAAGAGGGAGGGAGGGCCAGAGAAGCTGAAAGTACAGAAGAGACTGTACAGGAAAAACAGAAGTCAAGGAAGTGGCCTCTAGAGCTGTGCAAGACGAGCAGGATTCACCCAGTTGCAGGACCCAGACCTAATCAGCACACACTGACTGGAAGAATTGATCAATGGGACTGGCCAGAGTGTGCCACAGGGGCAGATCTGAAGGCTCTGAAAAGTCAGCTGTCACTAGAACCACGACCCCTGGAAGCGGGCTGGGACTTGCAGCCTGAACCCAACTAGGTCAACCACCTTCCAAAATGAAACACCAGCATTCTCCCTAGGAACTAAATGGGAGTCCTATAACGAGACATCCAAAACATTCACAACACAATTCAGAATTACTTGATATGTGAGGGGCCAGGAAAATCTCAGCTCCTGAGGAAAAAGATAGTCAACAAATGCCAGTCCCAAGAAAACAGAAGAGGCTGCAATCTGACAAAGACCTGAAAGCAGCTTTTATAAAAACGTCCCAACAAGAGCAATGCTCTTAAAGCAAATCGAAACACAGGAAGTCTTGGCCAAGGGACAGAGGGTGAAGGAACCAAAGTAAAATTTTAGAACTAAAAAATTACAATAACCAAACAAAAACAAAACACTTGATTCACTGGAAGAGTTCAATGACAGTAAAGAAAAAAGAAATTCCCAGGAGAAAAGCATGCGAGCTTGCCAGTGTGGAGAGGGGAACATGCATCTCTCATCCCCTTGCCATCTCTGAAAGAGAACTGAACCTCAGCAAAGTGGCACCTCGGTTCATGAACACTTTTTTTTTTGGTACTGGGGACTGAATTTGGGATCTTGCACTTGTGAGGCACACGGCAGAACCACTGAGCTAAGTCCCCGGCTCCATGAATGCTTTTGTTTGCAAACAATTTGGTTCGCAAACAGAAGCATTTGGCAAAATTTTGTTTTTGTTCACAAACTGCACCAGGTGACGAACATGACCATGGCCATCTTTCCCCACACAAACATGAGTGTGGCCTCTCTTTCAGAATTGCAGAACAAATTAAATTTGCGACCTGAGGTCCCACTGGATTTTTCCCTTTTTGGCTATCTTAAAAATGATCTGTATCTTCCGCCACCTGCCTCGAAACCGCAAGGTCCCAAGTTCGATCCCTGGTACCAAAAAAAAAAAAAGATCTCTTTTAGGATATATTCTGAATATGATAATTATAAATAAAATAGATGGTTAAATTAATCCTGTGTGTGGGAGATGGAGGCACAGACGGAGCACAGAGCCACCGTGACCTAGCATCCACTGAAGCTGGGTGAAGGATACACAGGAGATCACTATACATGTCTACTGCTATGTATGATTTACATTTTCATAACGTTTAAAAAGAAAAAAAAAGGTTCTGGTTTCCACTTTGTGGTATGATTTTCTCCCTTTTGCATTTTGCCTGAGGTCAGCTCCAAAATCTACAGAGCTATGTGCCTCCTCAAGCTGCAGGGACAATAGTAACCTGAGCAAGTGAGTGACAAACTACACAGGTGACTAGAAGATGACAATCAGCCTGTGGCCGACCTACCATATGCTATAGGTTATCAGATTTCCCTTAGACAGCCTGAGAAAGAAACGACAGTGTACAGTGTGACTAAAAGCAGGGGTGGAAGAAAAGGAAGGAGGGGGGAGTAGGCAGGAGAGAGAGAAGAAGAGGAGGAAGATGAGAAAGAAGGAAAGGAGGAAAAGAGGGAGGGAGGGAACAAAGGAGAGAGGAGAAGAGGAGGAAAAGGGAGAAACCAAGACAGCCAGCCCATTCACATAGCCTAAGGAAGGCAGGCAAGCAGAAGAACTAAGGAGAGTAAAGTACAGCAGACCGTATCTCTAGCCGTACTCTGCCATGTGATCTAGCTCTGTAGAACGGCTTGGTGGAAGGGGTCAAGGGAAAGGTCAAGTCTGTTGGTTTGGAGAGGATGATATAAAGCTGGATGCAGAGTCAGTTCAATCACGGAGTCCACTGTGCTCAGAAGGAAGCCAACAAGGGTGGGAGCTAAGGAAGTGCAAATCTGGGCCCTGTGAAGGTGTTGGGCAGCTCTATGTCAGTGGGCAAGAGAAGGATGCACAGGCGGCAAATCAACAGGAGGACATGCCTAGAAAGCCACAGTCAAGATCTTGAAGGCAGGACTGTTCCTCTGATGAGCGAGACTTGATGGGGCTGGACCCTGCTGGTGGGAAACAAATGCAGTGGAGGACCATGAGGAACAATATAAATAGTATCAGAAAGATCCCTGGCGTCAGATGGAGAAAATGCTGGCAGCCAGGTACACCTGGGTACAAGGGAAAATCTGATTGCACACACATGACAAGGGAACTAGGGTACAGCATGACTGTCTGCTTGCTGAATGTTGGGAGGGCGGGATGTTCTCTAATGGATGTTTCTCGAAGATCTACATTTAAATCCTTCCAAGGACCCCAAAGATATTAAGTAGTTTCATAATGAGGAACCACAAGGCAAGGAAAGCATTTGAAAACCTTTCCCTCTTTATGTTTGTTTTGCTCAAGTGGAAAGCAGTCCCATAAACACATATTTCACAGCAGCTGCTCGGGACTGTCCTCCTGAGGCTCTTACCTTGGTCTGCTTCTTCTCAGTGGCATAGACGATGGAGGTACAACACACTTCAGCAATCTTGCGGCCCTGACCATAGAAAGACCAGCAGCAGATTTCGTCCCCAATGACATCCTTTATGAATAGGACCCTTCCGTTAAAGCGCAGAGATAGCTTATCAAACAGTTCGATGTTTTTCAACATATTGTCGTCAGAATTGCTGCAAAAGAGCATTCAATAAAGTGACCACAGTGTGGTAATAATTGAACTATTTCTACACATAGGACCCTGTTGGGCTTATTTTCTTCTCTCTCTCATTTCACTCATGACAGTTCCACAAGAAGATGCTGTAGTCCCCAGTGCTCAAATAAGGAAAATGAAAGTCAGGGAAATTAGGTTAACTGTTCAAGACCAAAACCAATAAACAGCAGAGCTGGGCTGAGAAAGACAGCTCTGGCCCTAAACTCATACTCCTTACCAGCCTGCTCAAGTGCCTGCCATGCACAGCCTCAGGGCACAGGCACCAGAGGAGAGACAGCACCCCACCAAGCACCATGGCGGGGGGAGTGGCATTATCCCATGGGAAACTTTTGACCCTAGGTCAGTTTACAGGTCTTGAATAACATCCTTAAATTCCCCCTCCATCCCTCCAGTTTCTGCCTTAGAGCCACATATTCCCAAGAGAGCCAAAATGCATTTTAAAAACCTATGTAGATTGTTGTTGATTTGTAAAATGGTGCAGTAACTTTTGACTAAACCCAAGTTACTATATGACCCAGCAATTCCACTCCTAGGTGTCTACTCAAGAGAAAACACATGTCCATAAAAAACTTACATGTGAATGTTCAAAACAGCATTATACACGACAGCCAAAAAGCAGAAATAACCCAATGTTCATCAACTGAAGGATGAATAAACAACATGCAGCTGGGAATTTAGCTCAGTGGCACCGTGCCTGCCTTGCAAGCGCAAGGTCCTGAGTTCAATCCCTGATACACACACACACAGATAAAAAAAAAAGAAAAGCAGTCTAACCATACAATGGAATACCATTCCACTATGAAAAGGAATGAAGTACTGATGCATGTTTTATCATGGATAAACCTTGAAAACATTCTGCTAAGTGAAGAAAACCAGTCACAAAAGGAAACGTTGTATGATTCCATTCATATGAAATGTCCAGAATAGACAAATCTATAGAGACAGAAAATAGATTAATAATTGCCTAAGACTTTGGGGGGAAGTGATGGGAAAATTGGGGAGTGACTGTTAATGGGATGGGTAGAGGATTTCTTTTGGGGGGTTGAAAATGTTGTAAAGTTCAAACGTGTTGGTTTCATAACTTTGTGATATATTAAAAACCACTGACCTGTGTATTTTTAAAAGGTGAATTTTATGGCATGTGTGTATTAAACTTCAAAGTGATATCTATCTATCTGTCTATCTACCTACCTACCCATCTAGAGGTGCAGAAAGGTCATCCTCATACGAAGGGAACACAAGGAACTAGACCTGGACGGTACAACTGGAGGTTTCCTAGTGAGTGTACTTGTCTTTTCTGGCTGGCACCTTACCTGGTATATGAATATTTGTTGTTACTTCTGTTGTAGAGCAACTTCACAGCTGGCTGTAGGTTGTTTTAAAAAGAGGAAGAAGAGAGTTATTCGGCATGTAGGTGCAGTGAGCCATAGGCTTCCCAAAGGGCTGGGGCCCTGCCAGACAGAAGAGGCCAGACAAGTACAACTTGCTGGCAGGAGAGGGAGGCTGCATGACCCAGTGGCATGGGCGGCAGCAGATGAGCTGCAGCTTCCCATTCTCAACCCCTGCTTAGGTAGCAAAAGAAGTCCCACAGGGTGCCTCCAACATACCTTATTTGAAGTCGCTATAAGTTTTTGTTCTTCCTTAGATGAGGTGATGACTGGAACCTTGCAGAAAGGCTCATAAGTGTCTTTGTTCTGCTGGAACAAAACAAGCTTTCAGGCTAGGAGGTTTGCCTAGCATTGAATTTTTAAGGCTGGCCTGCTGGGCAAAGACAGGCTCTGTGAAGAGAGACAGGGCAGACAGACCTAAGAGAGAAGGATTCTTAACACTAATGAATCAGGACAGGGGAAGCCTAAGAGTGGAGTTTTCCAACAGGGCTTCTCTTTGGTCAGGGCTGATACATGTCAAGATGCCCAGTAAATACTAACAACAATGACACATTTTCCACAGCCCTGAAAACTAAACCCTCAACAGGGCAAATGAAACATTATTTAATCAAAAGCTCCTAAACCCCACTATAATAACTGCATAGGAACAAAAACAGAGAAAAAGAATGGGAGAGGTGAGCTCGGTAGGCAAAAGTTATCAAAACTTCAAGGGTGAAAAGCAGGCCACACAGATGAGCTATGGAAAAGGTCCAGAGAGTCCTCCAAGAATAGCTCTGAGGATTGGTGGGCAGAGTCCAAGAGCAGAGCACCACTTGCCAGGCAGCAGAAGCACCAGAGAGCCCTACGTTCATCCCTGCCCAGCAGAAAGGTCCACTTTCCTGGAGCAGTTTGCTCAGCAGAGAACAGGGCTGAGTTACCATTCTATTCCACTGCATAAGGCAGCCAGCCCACCAGGCTTATCCTCACCAGAGAGGAAGTGAGTGGAGGACTTCTCTATAGTAATAACCTGCCCAAGGAGGGATTACAGATTCTGACATCTGGGGTCCCCATCAAAAAAGTCAGCCCATTAGCCAACCATGAAGGCCACTGGACAACAAGGACTGCCATACATACAAACTTTCAGTCATACTCTTAAGCTTTAATGGAAGTCAAGGATCATCAGATTATGCATGGGAATCCTCTCACATGTAAACCCAAAACTAACACAAACAGCAAAAAAAGGAAGAGAAGTAGTCAGACTGTGAAGGAAGCAGAAAGAAAACTTTACATAGTTATCAGACAGATGAGAGCAGATGCAGTATCCTCTGAAACAAGATCACACATTACAAGAAATGGCTTTCAGAGAACAAGAAAAAGCTCCTGGAAAGTAGAAATCTGACAGCAGAAATGAAAAATTCATCGGAAGGGTTAAAAAGATAAAAAATTTTTTAAAAAAACCACTTCTGAGAGTGAAACAGAAATATCAAGCAAAATACTGGGAGCCTCAGAAGTACAGACATGGGAGCCAGAGGGCAGGACTCCGCGACACAGACGAGAGAGATGTGCTCTGAGATCTGGACAGTCAAGTGTGAGACTGACCCTTCTGAGAACATGAGGCTGAATTAGGGATATATACTTACGAAGTAGGCAAAGGAAATACCCTGTGATTCAACTACTAACAGCATCTACACTTCTAATGTAAACTCCGAATAACAGTATAACTAAAATTGTGATAACCTATACTGGAAGAATGAGTATGTACATGTAAGCTTGGGGTTTATGTGTGTTAAATTCCAATTTTCCACAGTAATGTCAGTAGCTAATACAGAGAAGTAAAAGTAAAGAGCAGTATGAGCAAGTTATATGGAGATATGAAAGTAAATAGAAAAAACTGCTAAAAGAGGCTGCCTTGGGGATGAAGGTGGCTGGGAAGGGGTATGGTGGTGTTTTTTACCTTAATCGTGCAGTATTGTTTGACTTTCTAATGATATACATGTATTACTTTAATAATCATAAAAATGAAATTACAATGCAAATGCTGCAACATTCAGTTAGATTTACAACAGTTCGGTGATGTGTGGCCAGAACAGTTCCTTGAGGAGCTCAGCATTATGGGTATTGCTCCAAGGGAGGGCCAGATGGGCCATGGGGCTCAGGAATAGTACAAACAATAGCCCCGTGTATACAGATCACGGTCCTACAGCACCCCAAAGGGACTCTTCTGATTCTCTGCCCTGTCGGTATACTGCTTCACTTATAAGGCTGCTGGCTGCATCTAGAAGCATTTGCTTTGTGGGATCTGACTATCACTAGACCTGACCCCAACTTTCCTGGCCCAGTCCAGCTTAGGAGTGAGGGGCATCTGTGTAGAGAGATGATCCTGGGCTCCCAACACTGACTAATGGGGCCATAGCAGTCCCAAAATGGATCCAGAAAATGGATTTGGTTTAACACTCTATGATTCACTACTAAAGGATTGTATTGTAGGCATGAAATGACACAACGCCATGGGGAATAACAGAGAGCAGTTAGGTGACCTGTGGATACAGGGAAGCCTCTCAGGGCTCTCCGTGATCAAGAGAGAGAAGCTCTAGAGTTCGCTCTCACACATCTCAATGAGGTAGGAACCGTTTCCATTTTGCAGAAAGGGAAAATGAGGAAGGCAGGTATGTTTGGTGCCTCTCCCACCCATACACAAAGAAAGGGTGGTGCCTACTTGTAGGGCTGCCTGGCACTCTTCCACCAGGCCCTGGACCAGGTAGTACTTGGCTTCTGCTAGCAGCTCCTCGATCTCCCGGCGGCTCTCAGGCAAGGGGACAGCCCCATCTCGAAGGTAGTTGAGAATCGTACCAAAGTGCTTCCCACACCGGTCAATGAGGATCCAGCCTGCAGTGAGGAGGAAGGGACGGGCTAGTTACAGGGCCATGCTTCTCACTTCTCACAGGAGATGTGGAGCAGGGATGAGTGTCTCCTGGCTTCCTCAACCTCCAGGGAAAGCAGAAGCGCAGAGAGAGCTGTGGTCCCACCTGCCTATCTCCAAATGGCATTGCCGCAACCTAGTGGCCTGGTGGCTACATACAACCCCAACTCTAGACTCCTGGGGGATCAGCTCTGTGGGACTCCAGGACCCCTGAAGCCTAAAAGCATGTTTCTGAAGTATCCTCACATATCCCAAAGGGGCCTAATGCATCATCCCTGGATAAAATGGGTCCAAATGACCGATCTCAATGACAGGGAAAAGGCTTCTGGGCTAAAAACATCTACTCCCTCTACAACACTAAGTTCAGACTCTCAAGCAGCAGAGCCATTCCCAAGGCAGCACAGCTTCATCCGCAGACTGTGCCCTCTGGCTCCAGAGTATGACTCTATATACTCCCCAGCACCACCACAGGAAGTCCTATCTATGACTTCTTGCAACAACCATTTATTGGCTATTGAGAGCAATGGGACATGAAACGGTGCTCTCAATAGACCCAGATGTGAAGCAGCTCAGTCAGCATCAATAGACAGAACCTGTTGCAAAAGATGAAAATGCCCTGACTGCTGATGAGTCAGGCACAGGAAAATTCTTGGAGGTGGAGCCAGGAAGACTACACCCCTGCTTCCCAATGTTCACCCCAATTTTGTAACTGGCCTGCTATTCCTGCCTGAGGGTTTTCGAAATTCCTCTCCTGAAATGCAATTGCCCCACAGTAGTATTTGGAGGAGAAGTCAGGACTGGAGCCTGAAGAGGAGAAGGTACTGAAAGCAAGAAGGAAATGGAGCAAAGACCAGTGATGTCTTTACAGAAAATGGGAAGCACTACAAGAAGCTAGACAGCTGATTAAAAGCCTCAGCGTTCTCTATCAGCAGGACCACCTCAGCCGGCCAGGACTTCCCCAAGTGTCCTTTCCTACATCATGGGAGAAAAATATTAGTGCACAGTCCTGTTAGGAAGTTTAAACAGCAATCAGGGCCTTTATGCCCCCTCCCCTGTCCTTCTCTGTCTCTTCCCAGTTTGGGAGAAGGGGCCAGTTTTCACTCCTAACTGCACTGTGCCCTGCCGAATCCCCTTCAGGTACGCATGCCCAGATCAGAGGCACAAGGCAACAAGAGTCAACAACACCAAGTGTACCTTCCTCGTACACCAGGTCACAAACCTGCCACTTCCCTCTGCCCCCCACCTCCCTGATCCAGCCCCACCAAGTGTCCTTTCATGGTCTTAGCGCACTATTTGATATTCATCACCAAGTTCACTAATGAAGTTATTTCCATTGTCAGCTCCTGAAACTACGCAACCTTTTGTTGCTGGGCCTTTTGTTTAAGGGTGGTCTCCTCCCTCCAGAGCCTTCCACTTGGTACTGCCACACCACTACAGTTTCCTGGGCAGAGCAGGAAGTAGAATGCCAAACTGGGAGAGCACAATGCAAACATGTACCCTGGAGCCCAATTCTGGTTTTGAGGAAGGAAAAGGCCCTCACAGGCATGGTAAATCACACTGCCCTCACACTGACCTCCAGATGTTCTCCCACTCTGCTTCTTTCTACATCTGAGACAACAAAATACGGACTTAATATCTTACACAACTCGGCTGCCCACAGGGACCCACAGCAGCACAAATGAGTGCAGCTGGGCAGCTGGCTGGAGAGTACGCCCCGCCTCCAGGGCAGCCTCTACAGCTCCAGCCCAGAGTGGACTGGCAGGAATATGAGCCCAGGCCTGCTGGGCTTCAAACAATGCCAGAAATCCAGATTTTTCTGTGAATTTCCTGGTTTTTAAGGTATAGTAAACTCACTCAAGAAGAAAAAGTCATCAACCCACTACTGGGCAAATAAAATAAATGTACAGGCAGAATCACCCCTGAAGACTACCAGCTTAGCCTCCATATTTCCCTAGACCTACTATTTCCTCCAAAAAACTGATGAGATGTGGAAAGGCACTATTATCTTCCCAATTGTTCTTTTCCTGGCTGATTCCTCACATTTCCAAGAGTCCCAGAGAGGTTCAGTGGCATTCCCAAGAAGGGAAGGGGCAGGACTACGCAACAAAGAACAAGTAAGGAACTTGTAGAACTTCAAGCTTAAAGAGAAATTCAACTCAGCTGCTCAGGGAAGAATCCATCCACGTTCTGCCTTTGATGTGTGGACAACTCAGCTGCTAGGAAAAGGGTGAGAGTTCCCAAAATCAATCACCCAAGTGACAGCCCAGAGTTTCCATAAACGAATAGGCGGACCGTGACACTGGGCTCCAGCTCAAGAATGTCATCAGGAAATGCCTGTGGTGAAGGAATCATACTTTGTACAAATAAGGGCAAAGGAGCCAGGCACATTCTCCATGGGTTTTCAATTAGCATTCTGACTTTAAAATATTTTGGTTGCTTTCAAAGCAAGAATCTATCCCTTAGAGTCAGCTCAACTGCCTACATGAAGAAAAACAAATGAACATAATGCAGCTTCCCACTGATGGAAGCATCTGTCCTCCTGCCATGGGCCACACAAGCTATTTAGAAAGGCTGTCCAAATCCAGGCAGCCTGGGAATGATGACCCATGCAGCAAGACTGGAAAGCAAGGAGGACAGGCAGAAGCTGGGAGGTCCTGGACTGGGCTCCAGGATGTCTTGCAGCATGGCACAGTGGTCTATATTGGAATCCCAACTCTGCAACCTACTCACCAGATGGCATTAGTATCTCACTTGAGCTCTCTTGTCTAGAAGTTCATTCTTCTCAAAGGGTTGGCATAACGATAGGATGATAGGATCGACAGAAAGCACGTGGCACAATGCTGGTTGATGAGCGGCACTCAAAATTACCTGTAGGTCTTTGGCAATGACCCTACAACTTCATCACCACTAGAGAACAGAGCAGCAGCGTGTCTGATGGCAGCAAGTTCCAGAACCCAGGAGAGATCTCCGTGGCTTTCACATACTGAGGGAGAAGGTTGCTCTGGAAGCCAGGGTCACTGGGCCTCTAGGCTTACCATGCACTCCTGAAACATACCATGTATTCCTTCTTTCTGGGGATATCTGGTTTTTTGTTTGTTTGTTTTTGGTACCGGGAATCAAACGCAGGGCCTCGGGCTTGCCAGGCAGGCGCTGTGCTGCTGAGCTACATTCCCAGCCCCTCTCTGGGATATCTGACCTTTCCTTTCCCTTCCCTACTCCAGGAGCCTTTGCTGACCTCTCCCTGACATATTATTTATTATATTCTATAGTTTTATGGTTGCCACACTTGCCTGATTACTCGAGATACAAATTCAGATTCTAGGACCCTGCCTCATTCCTGAGTTCAAATCTCTAGGGCAGCATCTCTAACCTTGGCTCTACTGACATTTTAGACTGGATAGTTCTGTTATATGGGGGTAGTTCTGTACACTGTATTTGGCTGCATTCTTGACCTCTACCCACTCAATGCCAGTAGCAACCTTACCCCCAAATCATGACAACCAGAAGTATCTCTGGACACTGCCAAATGCCCCTCAGCCAAAAAAAAAAAAAAAAAATTCATTCTTGTCTGTACCACTGAGGCAGATCAAAGACCTACATGCAGGCTGGAGAGTTTAGCTCTGTGATGAACATTTGCATAGCACGTGCAAGACCTTATGTTCTATCCTCAGCACCATTAAAAACAAACAAGACCTAAAACAAAATGGTGTAAAATGTTGAGGTATCAAAAGGCAACACCAGAAAATATTAAGACAAGGCATCCACAACATAAAACCACAAAGAAATAGTACACAGAATATGTATTTCTGCAAAGTAATTTAAAAAAAAAGGAAAATCTGTAAATAAGATGCCGTCTAGGACATAAAAGACAAAATCCACATGCTCCAATCAATAACCATAAAAAGTGCTTAATGCCCTAGAGATTAGGAAATGTAAAATAAAACAACAGGGTATGGTATCATAATCAGCAGTTTGGCAACAGTTAAAAGGCTTGACAGTGCCCAGTGTTGGCAAAAATCCAGACCACTGCTAGGAGTGTAAATTGACACAACCACCTGAGAGATGGTTCTGGCAATATGTAATGAAGCAGAAGATGCTATCCTTAAGTTGACTTCTAGGGCAGAGCGCCCAGGGTTGGGTAAGATCTTAACTGCTACAGCCCCTTGGGTGGAGGGCTGGTTCCTGGGGAGTCCAGGGCCTCCTCATTTACCAAAGTAAAAACAGGATCATCTGTGTGTGCCATGATGTGGCAAAGGTTGAGAAAGAACACCATAGAGAAAATCACATGTGCGCAGGGAAAATGTTCAAGAACGTTAAGATTCCTACAGTGGAGGCTGCAAACAATCTACCTAACTATCAACAGCATATGGCTCCATCAACTGCAGGAAGTATCTAGAATAGAACACTCTACCACAAGGAAATGTCTGAGCTAGAGCTATTTAGTCACAGTTCAAAGTCACAAGCATAATGCTAAACAAGCTAAAGGGAAACAGGATCACCAACAGTACAGCACCACTTAGAGCATGTTTAAAAACACACCATCAGGAGGACATTATTTAGGGACAGAAATAGCTGTGGTAAAATACCTAGGAAAATCCACACTTGTGGTTCCCAACTCTGCACACTAGAAACCCTGAGAGTGCTTCAAGGTCTGAATGCCAGCCACACAATGTTCTGTCACACCTGGCTCTCTGCCCAGGCCCCAAGCACCAGTATTGAAGTCCTTGAGTGACAAGCTTGAGATCCAGCTGGTGACCCCAAAGTCAAAACAGTGGTCACCCAAGGAAGGGAGCAAGGCAAACAGACAAGGGATAGAGAGGTCTGGGCAGTACAGGCTAGGCCTTATCCTGGTCTGAGTGGTTTTCTAGGGGAGTATGCAGATAATAAAATGAAGGACTCTTCAATCTAGTTATATACTCGCTAGTCCCAAAAGGATAAGCCAGAGATTGGAAAACATGTAAAGATGGGAAGGACTGCACCAAGCTATAGGGAAGAAACAGGTGAGCACAGGCCAGTGCTAAAGGGCTTTAGAGAAGGAACTACACAAATCCACGAACCAATGGTCATGTCGATGAGGGCTTACATCACAAATGCTAGCACCGTAAGAACTGAGCTTTTCTGAGGAGACAGGGAAAGGCCTGCTCAATGCTACAGTGTCCTCTCAGAGAAGCCACCCTTGTAGATCATAATGCAGAACTGATGCACACCACTCCTAAGGGCCAAGGTGGGGCACCCTCCTCACAGGGAGGCTCTTTCCTCCTATCTACACCCCTGCCCCAGGAGGGATGAAGCCTCTTCCAAGGGATCAGGCACTGCATCAAGTCCTTTCTAATGGCCTCATTCATGCCCCACAGCTCTACAAAACTGTTATCCTTCACACCCGAGAAACAAAAATCAGGCTCAGAGAAAGTCACTTGCCCAATGTCACAATTTCAGTAAATGGCAAATGTGTCAAAATTAGCACCATGCCTGACGCCTGGAAACAGTTCCACAAATAAGAGCTGTGACTATTACCATGTAGCAGAGCTGGGACTTAAACCCAGGTCCAACTCTCTGGCTGCCAGGCCCAACTCCCAAGGCACACTCTATCAGTTTAGGGATTCCATGGATGTGTGGAGCTCAGACATACAGACAGGCAGGGAACAAAAGGGAGGCTTTTCTAACACCTTGACCCCGGTGCCCCTCCTGAAACAACTGCTTTTTTACACACCTTTTAGCATGTCCTAGAGACATCCTACCCACACTGTTCTGTGCCATTAAAGCCCCTGTTCTCCTCCTAACAAGCCGAACTGCTGGATTCACTTGCCTGGCTGAACTCCACTTGACATTTCTGCTTGCAGCTGAAGGCCACCAGCATCCAGGCCAGTGGGAAGCTGGGAAATCCGGGAAGTTTATCCCAATCTGCACCCAAGGGTGTGCCTGAGACAACATGTAGGCCGGGGTCAGGCTGTGCAGGGCTCTGTGACAGCAACAGGACAGTTCTGCCAGGCAGACAACGGCTGGGAAATCAGACACTCAGCCTGACTGCCCAGGCCACAGGGACCCTGAAAGGGCTTCGGCACAAAACCAGGAGTCGACCTGTAAGACTGCCCCCTAGGCCACCAAGCGAGGCCACCTAGAAGAGACTTCCATTCAGCCTTCAAAGTGACTTGGCTGCTCTTCCTGAGTCCCCTCCTCCCCCAAAAAACTGAGTAGGGCAGAAGAAAAACCACAACAATCCTGGGTTCTCAGATAACATGTTTCCTTCTACAGCTGGAGTGCTATTGTCTTGATTTCCATAAATACTCTCAGGCAATGTGGGGTGTGGCACAAAAAAGGGGAGCCTCCCACTCATAAAATGCTGTGTTTTCTAGGTGAGATGCAGTTGGCAGTTCTGGAGCTCCAACCTCACTTGACCAGAAACCCAAGTTCACACTAAGTCCAAGGAAGCAGAGCCTGACCGTCTCTGGCCTTCTGGAAGACACGGAGGGCAACACCCTAACTGGCCAGCAGGCCATGCTAGAACCACAGAGTAAAACACAACACACCAGGCTTTAGGGCCCCAACCTCATCTGTGTGTGCCCACGTCCCTGGAAGGTGTGGGCATCAGAACTGTAGGCCAGACTCCAACAGGTAAGGCAGGGTCAAGCCATACTGTGATGTGGCCTGGTCGGAAGCACTCTCAGGCCAAGGAATGAAGGACAGGGATATTTTTAAATCTCATATGACCTAACCCCAACCAGGTAAATAAACACCCGGGCAGGTGCTCTTTGAAGTAGCAGTTCTTTATCTCATACTAACATGATTTTGAATACACATGTACAGAACACTTACTACGCAGCCAACAGCCCCACAAGGGGCCTCACCTGCTCAATTCAGCAGGTGAGGAAAATGAGACATCAAAAGAAAAGGCACTTGGTTAGGATCACTAGATACTAAATTGGGAGCTGGGACTCAATCCAGGTTTGTGAGTCTTTGTCAGGACTCCTCCCTAGGAGAATGAGGTCCAGAGAAAACAATATCTCTTTCAGGCTCAAGTGTCATTCTGAAGTCACAGAATTGAAGGGAACCAACTAGGGCAGCTGACCTAGCTTTCATTTTACACAGAAGCAAGGGCGGGGGGGGGGGGGGGGGCAGTGGCAATTTTCTCAAAGGCACAGAGCAAACCAACAACTATGTCAAGACTCAGAGTCCTTGTCCCAGTGACTCCCGTCTGCCAACACAACTTGGCGACAGCGTCACTGCCTCAGGAGCGCCCTCCTGACCACACCCAGACCAGCTCCAGTCTCCCTGTGACTCTCGGGGCTCCCTGCATACTGTGAGAACACTGAGCTCAACCAGAAGGCACATCTGGGTGTACAGCTGCCCACTTTATGTTGGTCTTCAAAGCAGGCTGAAGCTCTCAACCACAAGCATGTCCTTGGCACCTGGCACAGAGTCAAGTGCACAACCGGAAGCAGACAGCTGGCACGAGGGCTTACCTTCGCTGTCGGTGAGCACTTCCATGCGCCCACTGAACATGGCTTTCAGCATGGTGTCCTGCTTGGTCAGTGTCTGCATGGTGGTGTAGTAGAGGGCTCCCCCAACATTCAGCTTCACGTACTTGGAGCTGGGACTTGCGCCCTTGAAGGAAGTGGTGCGGGTAGCAGCCGCTGGCACCACTGAGCTCACCACACTTTCTCCTGACATCTCTTCCTGCCAGCGAAGAAGACACAGGGTCACCACACCAGGCCTGGTTTACCCCATTTAGCCTACAGGCTGTAGGCTGTAGACTAAATGTGGCCTCCAGATATGTTCTGCTTGGTCCATGCGTACAATGCATTTTCAGCCAGGCACGGTGACACCCACCTGCAAACTCAGAACTCTGGGTGGCTAAGGCAAGAGGATCACAAATTCAAGCCCAGCCTGGGTAAATTTGTGAGCTCCTGTCTTTAAAAATTTTTTAAAGGGCTGGGGATGTAGTTCAGTATAAAGGCCCTGGATTCAATCCCAAGTACCCCCCCCAAAAAAAAAAAAATTAAAAGATCGCAGAAAAATCTGGATTTCTGGCTTGTCTTAAAATCAGAGACCAAGCACCCCCTAAAAGTAGCATACTTCCCCAGTTTACTCCAAACCACACCCAGAGAGTCTCATACTCTGACCTCACTTGCTAACCTATAGTTACAAGTTTGCCACTAACTTTTGTGTTACAAGGACTTACTTTCTGCCTAGTACCTGTATAAGTAGTTAGCAAGGCTACATCCTAAAGCAGCCCAAAGCACTACCCAGGTCTTTCTACCACTCCTATGACAGACACCACTAATACCACTAGGTGCTAGCTGAAAAAATGGACACATGAATTTCTGAGGTAAACAGGCCTGGAAAAGGAGACTAGTACCTGGCATACATGTACTTCAAGAAATTGTGTGTGTGCGTGCGTGTGTGTGTGTGTGTGTGTGTGTGTGATGCTGAGTATTAAACCCAGGTCCTTCATACTGAGCTATACCTCAGTCCTTTTTTAAATTTTAAGACAAGGTCTTGCTAAGTTACTAAGTTGTCCAGGCTAGGCTGAAACCTGTGATCATCTTGCCTCAGCAGCCTAGAGTGCTAGAATTCAGGTGTACACCACCATGCCCAACAAGAAATTGTTTCTTTCAATGAATGATTCTTTAAATTCTACAGCTGAAGATGTCCAAGAATGGACTAACTCTTTCTGGAACCTGGGGCACAGTACAGAGAAAGAGAAAAGCAGCCCTGACAGCCAAGAACTGGTCTGACCCTCACAGTAAGGCCTTAGCATTCCTACTGAGCAGGACCAATTTCACAGCACTTCGCCATCAGAAAAGGCCACTCTGCAATCATGCTGTCACAAAACAAAAAGGCCAGTTCATAATATTGTTTGAACACAAACAAAAATACATTGGGGGGCATGGGATTTAGCTCAGTGGTTTCAAGGACCTGAGTTCAAGCCCTGGTACAAAAAAAAAAAAAACAAAAAAACAATGGAGCCAGGGATTTAGCACAGTGGCGCCGTGCCTGCCTTGCAAACACAAGGTCTTGAGTTCGATCCCCGGTATTGGAAAAAAAAAACAAAAAAGAACCCCCACAAACATTACCTAAAACACAGTAGTTATAGTTTAGATCTAAAATATCCCCATCTCATCTTCAGAGGTGGAGCTTTTAGAAGGCAGCTGGATTAGGGGGCACTACACTCATCGATGGATTAGTCCACTGAGTTCATAGCTGACTGTGATGTTTGGTGGGACCTGGTCTGAAAAGGTAGGTCTCTGGGAGTGTGACCTGGAAGGGTGTATTCTTGTCCCTGGCTCCTGCCTCTCTGCTTCTTGACTGCCCTGATGTAAGCAGCTTTCCTCTGCCTAGTTCTTCTTCAACCATGTAGTTCCTGCATTGGAGCCAGCCGACCATGGACTAAACCCTCTGAAACTGTAAGCCAAAATAAACCTCTCCTTTAAGTTGGGGCTGCTGGCTATTTTGTCCCAGTGACAGGAAAGTGACCAAACATCCCTATGTCCTGTAATGTAAGACATCGCTGCCTCCTTACCAAGTACAGCTTGGTTCCATTCTTCTTGCTTTCAGGATAGGAATCACTGAGACCTAACCACAGAATTAGCTGCTTGCTAGCAGCATACAACACAGAGCAAAGTCTCACTTCTCTGAGTACCCCCTCCCCTCAAATCCTTTTTCTGAGATGCCCTCCAGCCCTCCTTCAATGCAACCTAGAGGTGCAGCCAACCACGCTGGACTACAGGAGTGTTCCATGTGGTTTTGACTAGAGGGCACTGACAGCACAAAGTTTTTTTGAACTATTCTGAAAAAAGATTTTTACATTCTTTATACATTTCTATCTTCTCTAGATTTTTCACAATAACACGTATTGTATTTATAATTGGTAAGACACAATTTTTTTTTAAATGGGACAGGATGAAACAGTGGCAATTATAACAGTTGAGGCCATGATTAAACGAAAGTCACAGGCAATAAGGTTATCCAACTATTCTGGCCAACCCTTCCCACCTCCCCACCCTCAAGGGCGGCCTGAAAATCAGGGGCTGGGAACTTGAGACAGGGTCCCACAAAATGAAACTGAGAAAGAATGGCCTCATGCAAGGAAGAGTTTTCCCAAGAAGCTGATCCTGCCTCTTCAAGTGAAAACATCACAAGAAGTTTTCAAAAGCTCAGGCTGAGCTCACCTGGGGTCACTGTGGCCTGATGCCAATTATAAAAAAAAAGAGGCAAAGAGGAAGCGGTGACTTCCTCCCTTCCAGCTTTCTTTTGAAATCAGTTCCTAGAGACCTTTACCATAACAGTTATAGCCAACCATATCTTGCAGAAAAACTCTGTTCATGAGATGGTTGAGGTAGCTTATAGGAATAGTTTCCCAAAACTTTGAAGACCTGAAGGGGAAAAAAAAAGGTGAGGAATGACAGAGGGGGTTTAAAGAAATTTGCCCCAAGGGAGAAAGGAAGGAAGAGACAAGAAAAACAAGTGAAAATATAAGGAAAAAATGGAAACAAAGCTTTTGTACATAGTGAGGGGAGCGGGGCTTAACGGGAGGGGAGACAAGGAAAAAAGAGGCAGGATGTATCATGTACAGTTGCAAATTCCCTATGATGAGTATTACCATTATGTATGCCTAACATGTACCCAATAAATGCTTTGCTATTAAAAAAAAAAATTGCCCCCAAATGGAAATGCTTTACTGGCATCCTTTTCAGATGTAAATTTACATAATGTGTCTATGAGAAATGGCCTTGCCATCTTCGAGGCAGCTACCATAAAACAGACCAAAAAAAGTACACATATTATTTCTGGGTTTCCGATACCTCTGTGAAGATAATTTGCATATAATGAAGTATATTTTAAGTGTACTGTAGATGAATTTTGGTTTATTTGTGTATTTGCGTATCCTCTCCAATCAAGATAGAGAACACTTCCATGGCTCTAGAAGGGTCCCCCATGCCCCTTCCTCATTAACTTCTACCACGGTATGACTTTCTGAAATCCAAATAATGCTGGAATACAGCTATCATTATTCTCCTTTCATGGATTTGGATACCATGGCTCAGAGAGGACCAGTTGCTTCTCAAAGGTCAATCAGTAACAAGAAAACAAAAGACATGGGCAAGTGCTAGCTAGCCTGGAGCCCCTCAGGCTTGGTGTATTTAAGAGCTATGACACCTAAGTTAAGAAAAGAGAGCCCCTTTCCCTCTTAAAAAAAATTTTTTTTTAAGATGGGAAATAATGTATGTTTAAAGACTTGGGATTGAGAGTCAGGTAGGTGTTTAAGGCCCAGCCCTGCCACATAATGTATCTACTCCCATCATTCAAATAGGGCAACAGCCACTCCCAGCCCCCAGCTATGATGGAGGCCATAAAAAGCACCCAACACCAACCCTGGCTCAAACATGAAACATTCAAATTATGATCATTTGGGAATGTTCTCCAAGTCTGAAATTATCTCCTCTTTGGAGACTGTTTCCAGCTCTAATGACAACCTGAAATACTGAGACAGAAGCTTGAGACTCCAGGTGAGGCAATGAGAGCCCTATAGCTTCCCAGAGCCCACCCCTCCCAAGGTCAGTCAGCCCAATACCCAGAAAGGCCCTTGGAGAGAACTTCCTGGCTGTGTTCATGTTCTCAGGCCCCAGTTACAGTGAACTGAAGACACAAAGCAGTGGATAATAAACTTCTCATAGTAAACCTCTCTTCTGAGGCCTGTCATTGCCATCCCTACAGGGATCCTGCTGTTTTATTCCTTTCAGAGTTTTGATTACCTTATTAATGAGGTTGGGGAAGTAGAGCAGGAGAGAGCAAAATTGTTTACAAGAATCAGAGAAGGAATACCTGAGATACTGGTTTTGGATTCTAGTCAATGGAAAATTTATTTGAGTTAGTAGGGTAAGTCCACACTCTCTCCTTCCCATTTGCCCTGAATACATGGTT